GCTACATGACATCTGGGGAGGCCTGTAGATTACTGGGAGAGTGTAGTGTGGCCAGACAAGATAAAAATCTAACTTCAACATCTGGCAAATATGTGATATGATTTTTATGATGTAAATGTAGTATTGTAGCAATCAAAGTGAATGCCAACATGAATTGATTCCAGAAATCTATAAAAGAGACAACGTTGTATCTATTGCAGACATCCACTTCACTCTATAAATCATTCAATATGCCGCCATCATGTTAGTCATTGCCTATAGATTCCGTATTTGATTTGTGAATGCTTGGTCCTCTTCAGACAGCACTGTAATTTATTACTTATTTACTGTGTCCTTTTTAAGCACAAACAAATACAATCAATTTATCAAACCATGAAATACTGTTTAAGAGACAATTTAAAATCATAGGCATGTTCTCCTCACATTAGGTGACATTATTTTGTACATGTTTTCACAGTGGATTTTTCTCCTTGTGGTTTCATTCATATAAACATTTTGCAAAAGCATTTGAGAAAATGTAGAAATGAAATGAGAGCCACAACCTTGAACTGTAATAAATAGCAGAGGTCTACATGTCTAAATGGATATCTGCAGGAAGGCAATGACTACTAAATCCACTGCTCATGGCTGGTTGTCTTCCTCTCTGTGTCGATGTTTGTCTCAGCTGAGGACTTAAAGGTGCTAAAAGGCCAGGGGTGAGAAAAGCACATGGGAGTATCTCACCAAACTTAATTGAATTTCTGTGTGCGTATGTGTGAGACTGCTCAGCCGGGTGGCATTGCCATGTCCTACTAAGTCCCCTCAATATCTCTCGGTCCAACGGTCCATTTCACAGAATGGCTTGGTGATGTCATGGACCCATTTTTTTTCCTCTTTTCTTTAATCCCTGCACTGCCTGCCGTGCAAAGGCCAGATAGACTTATATATTTCACCTTCAAATCCCACAGAAATACAAGCAGCACTGGCCATGGATACATGAGGTGAATAATGTTACTCATAAAAATACTCACATCCAGAACATTTTACTCATATCCTGAAGAAAATCTTAACTACAAAGCATCTGAAACCCTGTGGTACTGTTCAATTCCTTGAAAAATGTGACATATCCAACACAGTGAACATCACATCTGCTATTATTTTTTGTCAAAGTGGCCTCATTGCTGTGTGGTTATGCAGTGCATATTTCTAAAATCCAATAAAAGGCAGTACAAGAGGCTTCCTAGAAGGCTGGAAAAGGAAACACAAAAATCATATTTTCCTGTGATTCACAAAAATAGGGCCCAGTGAGATTTTTGCTATGTCTACATTATGCCCATCAATTCTTATAGCTATGATTGTACTCTCTGTAATCTATGTAATGCTGAATGATTGGTTTAATTTTAAAATGAGGAGTCAAACTGTTAAATCACAATCATATTATTATCATTGTCTTAGTAAGATGTAAAAAAAGTTGGATTAAAGTTTAGTAGGCGACTGCTGACTTTGTCCGCTATTATAAAATTGTCAGCAGCTAAGCTGTAGCTAACATTAATTCAGTAAAATGGTCAAACTTAAAAGATTAGCTTCTTGCCTTCTATATGCCCATGACTGTGATACTTTGGCCACATCCACACTGATGTTTTTTTTTGTTTGTTAGTTTTTTTGACTGTGTCATCATTTCCAAAGGTCTCTATATTAGGGTTCCAAAACACCAGAGTAGGGTGGACACTAGGCATAAATGTAGCAATAGTTAGGCATTTTAAAATGAAAATGTGTAAGTGTGAAAGCAGTGTAAATCTTAACCAAAGATAGTTTTCTCAAAAAAGAAATACTAGTTTGTATCATTTTGATATTTGAAAAAAAAAAAACATTATTAATCTAACTGGTTGCGTCACAAACTAGTTAGCTGTTAGCTTGATGGTTGTCCAGCATGACAGACAGTTGGTAGATGGCTAACTGATCCCAAAATCCCCTGTTAAATTTGTGCGCATATCAGGGTCTATCAACTAGATAGGTTACCAGTTGATACCCTCTGGATTAGGTCTGTGACGAAGCTTGTCAAATAATAGTTGGAAGGCTAACAATAGCTCAACTAGCTAAATTGAAAGCTGCCAATGGTGTTATTACACTTGACAGACGCAACATATGAACCTTAGTTGGGAATCTTAACGCAGGTACCAATAAATAATTTCATGATTTTCTTGTACTGTTAAATAATTACAACACTCATGTTTTTTTGTTTGTTTTGTTTTTAACTTAATGTTTACCGTTTTTTTGTTTTGTTTAAAAAACAAAGCTAGCTCAGATAATTTGTAGTTAGACTTTTCACTGACCAACTGATTTGACAGAAAGCAACTCCGGAGGATATGAAGGACAAGAAATTTGAAAGTAATTCAAATATTGGTCAGAAGACTTAAAAACAAATATTTCTGCTCAAATCGTTGAGCCCAAACTCTTATTTGACTTGTGATAGCTTTAATAACTCAATATAGCAGTAATCCAAGCTTCAACATGTCCTTTCAGAAACCTTCACATGACAGCATACAGTTCTCATGTTTTTCCTCATGTAATCCTGTCAGGGGGATTGGATCACTATCTTTCTCTCTCTCTGTTTTCCCCTTCCCCCTTTCATTTTTTACCTTCCAACGCGCTCCTCTTCCTACGTTTCTCTTTCTTGACATTTCTGAATGAACCTGCTCTGGATGAGTAGGCTGAAAGATTGTTATCTTCTCCAGAATCATCCGTCTTACCACGGACCATTTAAAGGATCACATTATATCAAAAAATAGTGAGGAAGAGGGGGGAAGGAGGGATAGGCAAACCTCCAGACGATGCCATTTACTAAGGAATTAATAAGAGGGGAATTTATTATCTCACGGGGCTCCCCAACAACCCTCAGGGAGGAGAGGTTGCTTTTCATTTCTCTTTAGGTTTCTGGACTGAAACTGGTGGAAAAATATCAAGAAAGGCAGAGGTATGTAGCTAACATATATTATGGAAATGATTCTGTATCATACTGAAACTCTGTATTGAGAATGGAATGGAAAATAAAAACCTTGTGAAAACTAATCAAAAATATAAATGGCTGCCTCTGCAAAGAACCAAAAGCAGTGAATTCATTAGAAGTAGGGTTAGTAGCATGTAGTGAAGACATGGGATCATACTAAAGGTCTGCAACTCAGGGCAAGCCCAGCATTCAGGGTAAAGATTTATTCTGAATGGGTCCAGGACAAGGGGTTATCCCCAGGTCTTCAAAGTGAAACTAATGCAGAGGTACCTTAAACCTGCATTCTTTCTAACAGCCAGCAGGGGGCGACTTCACTGGTTGCAAAAAGAAGTCCGACTTTATGCAAGTCATATTTGTTAATTATGGTCCCATTTAGAGTAAAATAGACCATAGTGGTGACCTCAGACTCCCAGTTAGATATACCCGTCACTCCATCATAGCTCCACCTGCTCATTCGAATATGGTCACTTCTGGCTCCACAAAACCAAGATGGCGACTGCCAAAATGACAAACTACAGGCTTACAAACAGTGGTCCACAAAACGATGGGTGACGTCGGGGTGGCTATGTCCCATCTTTGATAATGTTTGTGGTTCAAGCCATTTTTGCAGGTGCACTGCAGGTTCAGGTCATGTGTGGGCCCTAAATGTTGGTAGCATTACAACAGCAAATTACAACAATGCACTGCAAGCTTAATGATAATGCCCTTGTCTTGCTTCATCTCAAACTCTGCAGCATTCTATCCTTCTTCCTCTTCTCATCAACAAATACCATGTTTATATCATAAAAATATTGTAATCATTGAAAAATTGGTTTTGGGTGCATTAAAGAGTTGTACCCCCAAAAAGACTGAGTTTAAGCTGTACCAGGAACTACATGACAATGATGAGTATCAGCCACACTAGATTTCAAAGTTTCTTAACATTCTTGATGAATGCAAGTTCACATACAGTATTTGGAAATTTAAACCTAGGAACACATTGAATTTCAGGTTAACCTCAGACCCAAGGTTAATGATATTCAGTATTGGCATGATCAAGTTTCTAACAACCCTCAATGTAGTAACCATAGGTTTAAGACATTTCTTAATGTCAGGATTTTCTTTTAATCCCTGTGTACAAAACAGACTAATCTAAACTGAGGTGGATTTGTTATATCTGCCAATTTCTAAGAAGAGATATGGACAACACCATTTTCCAAGACAGTGTACTTCATGAAACAGGGTTCTCGGAGAAACTTCCAGCAGTGTAAGACTGAATCGGGTGCTTTTTAGTCTGAGGACAGGACAACTTCCAAAAAACAAGCGACTGACCCACTTGTGCTTCAGTTCCGTTTTGCCCCTGTAAACTGTGTGCTTTATGTTCCACAACAGATCAAGATGACAGAGAATTGTTGTATATGGGAGAAACCAACACTGGTAAACTTCAATAATTATTCAATACGAAAAATAAACAAACAAGCAAACAAAGAATTAGCCAATCTTGCTAATTTGATCAAAATAAAAATGGCTTCTTTCAAGCACTAAGTTTGCATGTTTGCTGGTATGCATTTTTATTGTTCTACTTATCTAATTCTTACCAATTTTATCTCCTTTTTTTTTGTCTTGCAAGTTTTAGTATGATGGGTCATTGTCTAATATAGGAAGTATAAACTCAAACACACCCAACTGACTTGCAAGCAAGTGTTTGCTTAAATGATCTGTTTGTGTTTTGCTTCACAAAAAGTTTCCTAGTCAGGTTCAGTTCCTTAAAGATTTAGGCTGTTCATGTGGATTTGGAAAGAATTTGTGAACTTGCTTTTCGTCTTCATGTTCTTATCACATGTGGTGAGCCAGTTTCCTTCTGTTAAGCAGTTTCTACGAGGACAGGTTAGTTATTGTGCCTCTGCTGCCCTGTGAATATGGCTGTGTATGATTTTCATGCCAGTGCAGCACTTTAGTTCCCACAAACAATGGCATCTAAAAGGTCTGAATTAGTATCAAAGCATCCTTTTAAACACAACAAAACACTTCTTACTTCCTTGAAGCATGGTGAGGGGTTTCGCATCTGCTCCAGCATGGCCCATTTGACGGTGGCCTGCCTGATGTTGCCATCATATTCCCGTGAGCTCTGGGTACCACTGGGAGTCCCGCGGGAGCGTTCATACCCTGGCTCATTGAAGTAGGGTTCAGCCACCAGAATAAGGGACTGCACCGACACTAGCACCTAAAGCAGATTGACAAATTGAAAAAAAGGCAGGGAGAAATGGAAGTATGAGATGAAAGTATTCAGAATCCCCACTATGGTCCAAACAGAAAAACCCATTGTGAACTCTACGCACTTCAACGATATAAAAGGTAGCTTGATCTTCCATAAGAGCTTGAATAAAAACAACATTCTAATACTATTAATATGTCCAACTAGTTCAGTATAATTCTGATGTATTGGTGAATTACCCTGATATCCCCTCAGTGTCCTTAACATTCGAAGCCTCTTACATAATCTTGGCAGTGGTGGACACTTAGAAGAGAGTCGGACAAAAGCAAGGAATATTCTGGACCCATAAAAATATATCCTTCAATATATCTGTATTAACAGCTCGATTAATGCCTTGGCCTGTCTCAAGGAGACTAAGGACGTCCTCCAGCATCATTCTGCGCATTCCAAGCCGCTACATTACCAACAATGACGATCTTGGGCTTGGAGGCCTGCCTGCTGGCCCCAGCCACACTGGAGCTGGATGATGTGCACTTGAAAATGCTCCATCAAGTGGATACCAATGACCTTCAATTGCTGCGATCTGTCTGTCTTGAACTGGGTTGTCAGGTTTCAGAGCAGATATCTACCCTGGTTGATGACCGCTTGATCCCAGCCCACTCCCCTGTCTCCTATTCACCAACCCCCTTATTTTCCATTATTGATCCACAGCATGCTAACTGGAATGATAATCAATGAAGACGTCTCTATGCACTCTCCAACCTTGCAAATGAGGGAATTATAAAAAAAGAGGAGGGATCCATTTCCAAGGGCTTCAGCTCACTTGCTGTTGGATCAATATATATGGAAAATGAATGCAAGTTTGTGCATGGCAAACAACCAAAAAATGCTGTGAGTGTGTGTAAACATGCTGCATTCAAGAGCTTGTGTGTTTATTCATAAGCCTGTGCACCACTTTGGACCCAGTAGTTCCTTAATGCTGTACATTTTCTATTGCACACATTACAAGTCCAAACCCTCAAGGCTTTAGATGGTGAAACACAGATAAACTACTCTCTTTACAAAAAGCTTAGTAAGTAAATATATTCCCTTGCCTATAGATAACATTTGACAAAATGTAATTCTCATCAAAAACTGCAGCTTTACTACAACTCAGCTTATACACAGCAGAAATATAAGCATATGGACTGGGGTCAAACCAAAAATATCTCTAAAAACTATTCTAATCAGACTATCTGACAGCAAGTGCACAACGGTAAAAGTGCTTCTTTGGATGCGGCATGATACCCTTTTTTTTTTTTTTTTTTTTGCCAAGACAGTCTTTACATTTAAAGCTAACAGTTAAGCTACAATGGATCTCAGTGATGCATCTTTTTAACTCTACATCCAACGAAAAGTTTCAAAGTAAAAATGAAACAATGTTAAGTGTGCCAGGCTTGTCTTCAAAATAGACAAAGACAAGGAATTAAAAGAAAAACTATGATTACCAACTCAAGGTTGTATGACTGTTAACCAGTCAACTTGCACTTACAGTTGACATCCATGTCTGTGAAAACATGGCTTTACACACATCATTAACCCAGCAGCTCAGAAAATCTATACACTCAGCACTGTTTCAAGGTGGACACCCAAGATTAGTGTCATCAATTCAATATCTGACCAAATGTCTACCCTTCTGTTTCTGAGTTATGGCATTGAGTAATGGCCAGTGTTTTTGCAGAACATTATAATGTCAAAGTGAAGCTGACCTTTTGGATAAAAAATGTCATCACTTCATCATTTTCTTTTAGACTTATGTGTGAAATTTGGTCATAATTGGTAAATAAATTCTTGAGTTATGGCCAAAAACATGATTTGTGAGGTCACAGTAACCTTGACCTTTAACATTTGTGCCAAATTTAAGGAAATTTTCTCAAGGCCTTCTTGACACATGTTCACGAATATGAGACCAACGCAAGGTCACATCAACCTTGACCTTTGACCACAAAAACCTCATCTGTTCATCTAAACTAAAGATAGAAATGAACACAAGTACTCTAAGTATTGTACAAATTTGAGGTATTTTACTTGTGTATTTTATTGTGTGCTACTTTATTCTTCTACTCCACTACATCTCATAAATGAAAATTGTATTTTTCACTCTACTGCATTTGTCTGGCAGCTTATGTTACTTTTCAGATTCCAGTTTTCCATCCCTCTCCTGTCCAGTGAAAACCATGTATCTCCAGATGTGCTGATGTTGAATGTTTGTAATAAAATAAAAGATGAAGTGTTCCGCAAGTTAGATGGAGCAAGTGTAACCATGGCAACCTCAGACGACAAGTATTAATCAAAGTATTGCGATACAATTATTGACAGTCATATGTTGCATTCCGCCATAAAGTGTGCAGAATCAATGCAAAAGGGAACGTGGTCAACATAATCATGTGTTATAGTGATGACAATTTGTAGGGAAGTAGGCCTATTTCAGCAGCTCGAACTAATTTATCTCATTCACCATGAATCTTTGTTGTCGCAGACCACACCCCTTCATTTCAAAAACTCATCAGATCTACACAAATCACACAAATGACCTATTTCTGATTCAAAACAACCATTTTCACTCAAAAGTTTGCACAAATTTGCACCCCCGAATAATCAGTTCATTGCTGGGTCCAAGTGGACAACTGTCCCAAATTTGAAGATATTCCTTAAAAGTGTTCTTGAGATATTACGTTAACAAGACAGGGACAGACAAACGGACGTACAGGTGGATGGAAAACCAAAAACATAATGCCTCCTGCCATGGGTATCACCGGTGCGGGGTCATAATATTGTTCAGTGTATCAGGCTTGTTTCAAAATACACAATTTAAAGAAAATGATTTAAAAGAAAAATGAATTAAATCAAGATAATAGAAATGTCATCAGGGACAAAACTACAAACTGAGGATTTTCAGATCCAGGCTAAAAACAGATGGCATCTGAGCTAAACATGTAATTGAGGCCATCTGATTCTGACTTAAAGATGAGTGATCTGTGTGAGCAGGCATATCCTCGAGGTTCAAATGATACTGGTTTGTGTTTGGCTTGATTAACACCCACGCGCTGTCACCAAAGCAAAGTAATAACTTGGCTTTAAAAGGGATCCCTCATGTCAGCTGTTGAAACACCAAGCCCATTAATACAGAGCCTGTGGCAGTGTAATGACAGGGCAGAGATAAACTATAGCCTGTGACACAAAGACTCAGACAACAGCCCTGCTGATCCATTTAGACAGGTGACTCTGTTGTGATGGATCTTTACCTCACCTGTAAAAAGCTTGAGGTCTGTGGGTTCCATTTCTCCTCTGGTCTCCCATGCCACGTGTTGAGGATACTTAAACAAACCTGATAAACACACACATAGGAAAAAAAACAATTGATGATAAGTTGATAATGGCTCCATCCATTGTTGGATTACACTTAATAGCAAGGTTTGAAATTAAGCAGTTTCTTTTAGTCCCTATTAAAGTTCAATTAATACTCATTTGTTTGCCAATGACACTGTTCCCATCATTGATTTGCCTGTTTAAGACTGACTTCAAATCACTGTACTGATTCAATTGGAACCTGTTGCATGGCTTACAGCTGGGTAAGACCATAAGAGTCCCAGTTCAATTTGACACCCTGCGGCAACAAGCTTCTTATGATGCATCTTTCCTCCATTTAACCATCCATTCATCCCTCATCAGCCTGCTGAATGACAGCTTCCCCCTGGCTGTACCCCAGTCCCAGGTATTTATTATAGCAGCTGTCAGGGCCCATTATTAAAATACATGTGGGCTGTCAGCGGCTGCTTAATGAGGTGCCGCAGATGGGGTGAGCTTAGGCACCTTGACCTCAACTCCTCCATGAAAGGAAGCCAGGACCATGGAAGGAGAGCTAGATATATTCTAGCACGTCTGGAGAAATCCTCAAGGGGATGTCCACTTCCAAATGTCAAGTTTAATTAAAAACTAGACATCTGACAAGGAAGGTCTGCAGATACAAGGGTTTAGTTTGACACTTCAACGCCATATTGGGCTCCTGATGGACAGCTAGGCAGGTTACTTTTCTTATCCTACTCACTATACAGACTGTGGAAATGACCCTCAATCTGAGGCTGTTCTTGTAGATTTGAACTACTTTTGTAGTCATTGCTTGTGGCCATAATAAAGTCCATTTCTGTTTAAGTTTCATTAAATGTGAACCAAAACCATGACTAATTGAAATTTAATTGCAAAAGTCCTGTTGTAATTTTGCAATTTTATTTTTCATTTTAAGCAGCTCATTTCAGAATTTTTCTAATTTGGAATTATTATATTGGTAGGGAATATGCAGTATCAAATATGAAAATTAAGTAAATGATGAAAACAGTTTTAATTTGGGCATACATAATCCAAATACAAGTGGTCAAAAAGGCACCCCTACTTCCCTGAGTTATAACTTAAACACAGTGTTATGAGAAAACAGATGTGATTTTTGACTCAAATTGCGTCAATCAGGTTTAAAGAGTTCAAATCTGCAATAATGTGTACATTTACTTGATTGCAGACTAACATGAACACACTTTGTGCCTTTTTTAACTTACTTTGCCGTCATTGTAGAGGTTAGGGTTAAAGCGCACACTGTGTCCGCCGGTGGTCTCCAGGTTGACCAGCGGAGGAGAGTTGGGATAGTCTTGGGGAAAGTACACATCAAATTCAAAGCAGCCGTTAGCATATGGGGTGTCAGCTGGGCCTGTGATGAGAACCTGTAAACACAAAGAGAGGAGAAGCTTTGATAAAAACAGACTGAGAAAGGGTTATTAATCATACACACACTGGAGGAGGGTTAATTAAAGAAAGGTGAACACACTGATAACAGTAAATATGGATTAAACAAAGTGCAAACGGCAAACTATCATGGTGAAATGATGCTGACTCTCTTTCAGGCTTTTCCACAGCTACACTGATGTAATTAACAACAAGGCTAAAGGGTGAAATTAGCAGAGAAAGAGTCCAGGTCTATCTATAGCACTCATGGCATTTGTAGCAAAAGACAATTTATTTTCCTGAATAAGTGAGATTAGCTCATTAATCAAAGAAACACAAGCACTTAAACACTGTTATAAGGACCCAAATATCAGGGTTGCATGAGAAATCGTTTCAGTATCGACACTGTGATGTGCACATGCACAATAGTCACATTGCAGGTTGTGCCACATCAAGGAAGGCGAATTAAGTGTAACACATGGTACACCTTTTTTGCTGCTTGATACAAAAGGAAAAGTTGTAAGGTTATCATTTTCCATGACTAATGTTAGTGGTCAAGTCTTCCTCTTTAAAAACTAGACACACAAGCCGATGGTCTGCCGTCGGTCAATGTTGGGCCACTGGAGAACATCAGTCACCCTAGTCTTTGTGATGTGTCCTGCACCATTGGCCCTCGTCAGCCCCTGTTGGATTTTTTTTTTTTTTAAGCCCATTTAGCATGTCAGTGTCGGTGATGGCAGAGCTGGTCAGTGGATTAAATCACTCTGATTGGCAGTTCAGCTCAACGTATGAGAAGAGAAATGGAAGTGAAGAAAGTAAACAAAGAGCCTAAGTCAAGAGGGAATGAGACCAAAACAAATTTGTTACATTAAGTAAGATCATCTTTCTTAAGCCATTGAGCTCTTTAGCAGAAATGTTTCCTGATGGTTTGTGTAATCATTTACTAGAGCACAGTAAATATTCTTTGTTCTTTCAACACTGGATTGTGTTGTTAATATACTAACTGGCTAACTCGCTTCAAGACAGTCTTCCTGTTTCCCCTTTTGAATGATGATTACAGACTACCACTGTCTGCTGTTGTGGAGAGTTATTTCCCCTCACTCAGGTGCAGAATGTACACGCTGGTTTGCCGTCGGCTGTAGTATTTGTGGTGTGTGGGACATGTGGACTAAAGCAAGATTTATACTTCTGCGTTGAATTGCCATACCTATGCTGTATCCTTGCCATAGCATGATGTGCACCTCCACAGAGGTGTAACTACACATTATGATGGGACAGACCTTCTGTTTATTTTTGTAAACTGAAAACCATTCCCTCAGAAGAAACAAAGCTTTTAATTACCTTAATTTCAAAGATAAGAAAGAATAAATTGTAAAGATAATAAAGCACCCCCACAAGCATTACAAGTCGTCTTTGTGACTTATGCTGGCTTCACATAAGTACATAAAGTCCACTAATTTAAACAATGAAAAATGTCATAGGCTTATGCTATTAACATTAGCATGTTTTATTTGTGGGTGAAATGTGTCTAGCAAAAGCATTTTGTCTGTGAACCTCATGAGTTACAATTTGTGAGCTGATTTGTGTAACTGTGTTCGATAGTGTCGCCAGTAAGCCATGCCTTGTGTGCGTTTTGGGTGTGTTAAGAATCAATCAAAATTAAAGCCTTCACAGAAACCCTATCAGCGACAACCGTTTTGGAGGTGTAACTGCAAAGCGATGCAGACACACCGCAGCACAAGTTTAAATGCCCACAACGGTGTTGGCCAGTTGTGTAAGATAAGGCGTAGGTTCTGCATAGAGCCGACATACACCTATACATCTGCCTTATTGACTTTGAATGCGTGAATAACCCTACAGTAGTCACACACCTGGAACAATCAATCAGAAATGAAGAAGTGTTTTAGATTATAGGAAAAAAATGCCTTCAAGAAATCTACATTAAGTCAAGTTGCCTGGCTGGAAGCTAAATATTACGAAAGAACATTTCAGGGATAAACTGCATGTGTTAGAGGGGCTTAAAAGGACAATTTTAGTGTGCATCGTGTTTTTCTTTTGGAGAAATGCAAACATCCTGACCCTTGCTTAAACTACCACATTGGTCTTCTTGAGTAGGGCTGTCAGTGTCAGGGTTTGTAAAACTGGGATGACTCTGCAACTACATTTGCAATATTTTTCAGGGCCATCGAGCATCGTTCATGCATTAAGTTTATTTTGACATGAACATTCAGACCCAACACTTTTACTGCACTTCCAACCAAAGTCTGGTGTGGTGCATTTCAAAACTGGAGCCAACTCTGCCTCTGTGACAGGGCTGAACACATGCAACAATGCTGTTTTGGTACTGATGTAAGGATGCAGGGGTGAGGTACAGGGACGCACTGACCCCTCACAGATCATAAGATTTCCACCTCATCAGCCACTGTCCCTTTCTGCTGATGCTGCTCCTTAGGCCCTGCTGTTCTGGGGGGAAAAGTTAATTTTGGTGGTAGGTTTGTATGAACATGTTTGCATAACAAAACGGTGCACTGCTGTGACAGATTTTTTGGCTGTGGGCAAAGATCTTTCCTTTTATACCCCACTTTGTTATGCTTGGTTCTGCTTTGTGATAAAATTACCTTCTGTGCTTCATGGTCTTTGTTGATATTAAAAATGCATGATTTGGCAACTTTTGTCTACATTTTATGGCAAACCATAGAAAAGCTACCTTAAAATATTGTCATATATATATATCCACTTTTCCCACATGTTAGTTACTTCCATTCTTTGTCGACCAAACACAGACTACAGAAATTATGCTATAAAAGAAAAAAGTAATGCAGTGATGTGTTCATCTGTTTCTATTTAGTGTCTGACTTTGTTTTTGGTATGCTGCTGCCTTGCTGTTATTTTGTTGAAACTGAGCTAAACAGATGAGGATTCTGACATTTAGCCAAGGAGACATTGCCATTAATCAAATTGTGGGGTGAGAGCCATTTATTAAATGTCACTGGGGGAATGAGTAAGAGCTGTCATGACAAGTTGTATGGTAGAAGCACCAGATGTAGCAACACTACACAAGACACAAGTGTTCCATCAGTCCTACTCACTTCTCAAAGCAGTGGTCTCTGAGAATCACAGGATACAAAACTGTACACACCAAACAAGTTGAAGTGATGCTTTACCTTCATGATGTCCAGTCTCTCCTCATCACAGCGGACAAAGACACTAGACGAGGATGACAGAGGCAAAGAGGTGGACAGAGTGACGGCCTCCTGGGCAAGGCGGCGGGATCGTGCTGCGCTGTTTGTGTCGCTGGCGTTCTTCACCTGAGACATGTAATGGTAGTTGACCTTGAACATCACTTTTCCATCCTCGTCCTCTGAGACCATTTCAAAGGTGTCTGGAAAGAAAGAAGGAGGGCAGAAAAGAATATGCTCATTCTCAGCTTAACTAAAACAAAAAACTATCATTACCACCTGTAAACACTCAAAATTAACATATTCATTTCTCAATTTGGCCATGTTTACTTTGATGCCAGATGTAATTGCAATTCAATTAAGGTGATAATGCCAAAAAGAAAGTTTGAATGAAATCAAATACTGAAAGGATGTTTTTGTGGTCAAGCACATATCTTTAAAGAAGTCTCCTTCCTCCTTTTCTTTTTTGAATTTCAGCAGTATTGCCTATCCGGTTTAATTTTCTGTCATGTATTTTATCTATTTTTAATGTTGTATTATTGGTATTTTTGTATGTTTTTATTGTAAGGTGTCCTTGGGTGCTCAGAAAGGCGCCAACAAAATAAATTTTATTATTATAGAAGTCAAGCTTAAAGGTTTTCAGTGTGTTTCTTGGGGGAGAGTGTGATCACTCATTGGACATGTTCTTCCTTCAGTAACAATGACTGAGAAACATGTAGGATGGTGGAGCTGGCTGGTCATCTTGCTACAGCCAGTCAGCTTGCTATAATGTCATATTTCTGTAAAACCCTTAAAAGCTAAACAATTCTTTCCTTAAATTTGGAGCTTTTAAAAAAAGAAAACTTCATGAGTGACTTTACTGGCCTTACTACAGAATGGTAGCTAGTCAGTTCTGTTAGCTCTTGCACAAACACTGTTGCTGTGTCTCAAATCGTGTACTTTTGTACTTACACTTAAACCAGTTAAAATACTAAATTAAAAAGTTTTATGTTTCAAGTTTTCTCTCATGCAGTTCGGCATGACAGGGGCTGAATTGCAGCTGTTAGCTCAGCTCATTTCTCTGATAACTTAAGATCCAGACATCCAGTGCCTTAAAAATCCTTCATCTGATTAAAACACAATAAAAACGACCTAAAAATGTATTGTAAAAATATGGCTTACAACTGGATAAACAGTCAATTTATGAAAGCTTCTGGAAGAGCACCACACTGACGCATGAGCAAAGAGGATATGATGCCTCTGACAGGGGACAGCAACCAAATGACATGGTCTGATTGCGGTCTGACATTAGCCTGGCCAGACCCAATTCGCAAAACGTGAATGGGTCTGGACACGGAGTGTACATTTCCTCTATTCCCAAGGGGCGGTATCAACAGCTGTCACTCAAAGTGCCCCTTCACGCAATTGGAAAGACGGAAAACCAATCAGAGTAAACGAAACGTAGGCTAGCACAACGCCACTGTAAACAGACCAGCAAGCAAGTGCTGTGATGATGTCTGGGAAAGAGTGTTGCTGTCTTTGCAGATTTCCTCCTCACTGTGGACTCCGAGTTGCATGGCTGTGATTCCCAGTTTGGTTGCTTCCCTGACCTGCTCCTCCATGAGAGCAACTAGTGGAGAAACAACAATAGCCACTGGGTTTTCACTGAGTCCCATCTTTTTCCTGATCAACGGAGCCAATTGGTAAATTAAACTTTTACCAAACCCCGTAGGAAGGACAGCAAACACATCCTTTTTTTCAATAAAAGCTTTCAGTGCAGCCGTTTGCTCTGCTTTTAAAGAAAATGTACATTCCAGTTCGTTCAACACATTAACCATCGCAATTTCAAAATCAGCAGCCATGTTGGTTGTTTACGAAATGCATTCACTCCGCTCCTTGTCTCTCCTATTCTGATGACGTGATTTCAAATAACCCGCCCCAAAGTAATAAACGGTTGTGATTGGCCCGGTAAGCGAGATTAGGATGGTTTCACCAGGCTCGTCTGACATGACAGATCTCTTTAGTTTTTAATATCATTGGAAATATTTGGGATAATGTCAATATACAACTTAACAAAATATACAGCATGACATTGGTTTAGTTGTTTTCAGACATGCAAAGATGTTACAAGTTACATCCTTAAAGCAAAGAAAAGCTTTTAACTTCCAGTCCAACTGGTCTCTATTATTGCCAGTAAATTTAATTTTCATTAGCTTTTAGCCACAGAAAAAAATTAACATTTTTAAGCTGAATGCAAAACTTGTTGCAGCAGGAGACTAGTCAAGCCATGAATAAAACAGTTAAAAATTGAGGAACCAGCTCATCAGTTCAACACTCATATCCCTTGTAATGGAAACGCAATGATACAATCAAAAGTTTTGTTATAGTAAGTTTAGTCCAGCCCTCACACTGTATTGAGCTTTCTATTTCTATTCTGCCCGCACACACTGAAACAACAGTGTTTACAGCCACTTGCAATTACTTCAGACATCAAGCTGCTTGCTAAATCAATTGCAGAACTGGTGTAATAAGTCATGACATGGCTGAATGGAGAGTGATGGACAAGACAAAAGGAATGAGCAGGATGGGAACGTAGCCTGAGTCTGCCTCCCTTTCAGAGTTCTGGTATGAAGACATTATGTATCAGATCAGACAGGAGATGGGGACAGAGGAGTGTGTGTGTGTGTGTGTGTGTGTGTGTGTGTGTGTGTGT